GAAAAAAGTGAGTAAAGCTCAAAATTCTTCTAATAGCTTTTATTTCCATACACACAAATGCATTGGGAACACTACACATTCTATTCCAAATCAAAACATGAAGAAAAATATATCAAATTTGTGTTGTTCCTCCAAAAAAATTGAAGAAAAGTGAATATTAGACTGTTCAAAAAAAATAGCAGTGTTTGTATTCTTCTTTACAAACTCAAACATTCACTATAGAAACTGAAAAATGTTTGAAGATTTTGCTTTCCTTTGAATCACTTAATTAATATTTAGTTGTGTAAGCACTGTTTCTGAGAACTGCTGTACATCTGTGTTGCATGGAGTCAACCAACTTCTGACACCTGAGAACAGGTATTCCAGCCCAGGATGATTGGACTACATTCCACAGTTCTTCTCTATTTCTTGGTTTTGCCTCAGAAACTGCATTTTTGATGTCACCCCACAAGTTTTCTATTGGATTAAGATCCGGGGATTGGGCTGGCCACTCCATAACGTCAATCTTGTTGGTCTGGAACCAAGATGTTACAAGTTTACTGGTGTGTTTGGGGTCGTTGTCTTGTTGAAACACCCATTTCAAGGGCATTTCCTCTTCAGCATAAAGAAGAATACAAACACTGCTATTTTTTTTGAACAGTCTAATATTCACTTTTCTTTAGTTTTTTTGGAGGAACAACACAAATTTGATCTATTTTTCTTCATGTTTTGATTTGGAATAGAATGTGTAGTGTTCCCAATGCATTTGTGTGTATGGAAATAAAAGCTATTAGAAGGATTTTGAGCTTTATTCACTTTTCTCAACACACTGCTATTATTTTGAACACAACTGTATGTCTCCTGATCTGAACCCAATCGAACACCTTTGAGGAGTTCTGAAGAGACCAGTTGAGCATCCCTCTCCATCCAGTATCCAGGCTCTAAAAGAGATCGTTCTTGAATAATAGAAAAAGATAAATTAGATATTGCAATATGTTGCCAACTTGTGCATTCCATGCCTAGAAGACTAGGGGCTATCCTTACAAATTATGGAGGCATACAAAATACTAGATGTAGTTTTTTTTGTGGGGTGTATTCATTTTTGCATCAATTAATTTCAGTATAACTGAAGATTTTGTAATCTAAGTTATATTATTAACCTTACTTTCATGTAATGAGCTAAACAAATTTTTTCTATATAAAACTCAGTTTTGTTAAAATTTTGGAAATAGTTCTCGTGTTAAATGAGATTGATTAAAATCTTATATGATGGGGGTGAGTGTGTCCCCCAGGGCTGTCTTGCTGAGCAGGCTTGAAACTCAGGGCTGGCTCCGTAACTCGCACTGGGAGCCGCCAGACTGCTCAATAGTTGAGTAAAGTGAAAGCAAAGCAGGAGGGAGTGCGTGCTGTGCTCTCTGCCTCCCCCTAGAGTGCAGTACTTGGCTCTGTGAGTAAAGGTAACGAAGTACTGCAACTTTGTGTGTGTGTGTGTGTGTGTGTGTGTGTGTGTAAACATACATGTATAGGTGGTTTGGTCAGGTTAAGGATGATGTTATTATGGGTGGTAGAGGATGGGGCATTTGAGGTACTGCTGGGTTGGATAGAAGGTAGGATATGCTTGGTAGATTTGTGGTTTGACGAGTGACAGATTATGGGGGGTTATGGACATTTTGACAACAGCAGCATTGTCCATTTTGGGGGGGGGGGTGGAGTGTTAAATGTACTAGCAGGTTTGGATACACAAGTTGACGCTGAACTCCAGCTTGCACTTTATACGTGGTTACAGCAACAGTTGTCTTCCTTTTGGGATAAAGGTTTTGTATAAACAACTGATCATTGTAAGCACCCCTGCCATTGTTGAATGGCTTGTTTCATCCCTGTAACTGATACATCTGTAAAAGAGCTTGTTCTTTTGAAAAACAAGAGACTTACTGGCCAAATCACCAGATGAAAATAGAAGAAAGAGCTTAAAAATAAAACTAATGCAGCCATCACATCTAAGAATTGGTAAGCTGCAATATAATCAGTTTGCTTTTTGGGTCACCTTGACTCTGTCAGTTTTAGAATACTGGTTGGTGGTTGTAAACCTCAGACATGAAATATGAACAAAGCATTTCCATCTATAGTGTGTACTTGTCTCAATCCAGAGCACTAAGTTTAATTTCTGTCTGCTGACCCATTCCTCTGCTATCTGCATGAGTCACTTCTGACAAGTTTTCTTGACACCAAGTGAAAAATGGTGACGGGAAGGACCTCCAGCTGATTGACATCCTCAGCTCTGTTCCTGTGAGCTGTGTGAAGGGGTTGTGTTCCTCCCTTCTGATTCGCTCTCAGGACTCTCCTCACTGAACTCTGCAGTGTGATTTCCACTCCCCACCCCCTGTTTTCTAACAGCTCAGAAAAGCTTTTTAAGTTCTGGAGTTTGAAAGGATATACGGCAGAGAAGACAAATAGGTACAACTTATGTAGGAGGATTTGTTTTAATCTCTCTGTATCCCTGAGGCCAGTCACTTCATTGGGTATATGTGAAGATTTACAGCAACTTAAAGGGCCTGTGTTTGACATGCTTTTGTTCACTTCCAGTGGGTCTTACTTTCCCATGCAGTCTGTAGGAATGCAAAACCTTCTTGAAAGGTCAGGAGATCAAATGCAGGTTAGGTCAAGTGCACCGGTCATTGAATACTAATTGAGTATCCTAAGCTGATGTAACATATATATATATATATATATATATATATATATATGGAACTAGCACCAAGGGTAGAGTTTTAACAACACGCAGCTACGCACTCTCTTCTTTTTATGGGCTGTTTTTGCCCAATTTTATTTAAAAGAAAATTTCCTTATAACTGGTTTCCCCCACAGAGGTATTCACCATCAATACAAACAAAAATATTCAGCCTCCTGGCTCTCTTTAGCAACACCGCTGCTTGGGCTTCATACCTCGGTCCTGTTGACCATCCATGTGCAACACATTTCACCTGGGTTAGCGCCCTCTCCCAGCATTCCTGCTTCTCCAGCCCACAAGCTTGGGCTCTGTTTGCTCTGACTATACTGTGCCACCATACACACTTGTGGCTGCTCCCTTGCACCCACATGGACTCCTCGGGAGGGTGGAGCCCAGAGCCCAGAACCCTGGCCCTGACTCTAGAAGAGAGCCACGCACACCTGACCAATCAGTCTTCTGGCCATTCCCAAAACCTGGTCCCTGGATTGGAGATTTCATCATCCTCCCAAATCACTTTGAAATCTCCAGGCTCCAGGTCCCAAAATGGACTTTACAAACAAATGAGAAAGTGAAAAGTCGCTTTCATCTGCATCAAACGAGTACCCTGGAGCCCCTCAACCTGCCTTGTGGAGAATCCCAGGTGAAATATCCTTTTTATATCGTGACAGATCGCCACACTGTCTAGATATATATATGTGTGTGTATATATATATATATATATATATCACAGTATATTATATTTATTGTTGATCATGGGCCTTTTTGTATTGTAAATTTCAGTTCCAGACATTCGCACAGTTAATGCTTAGACACTTGTAGAAATTGTAGGATCTTGCATGATTCTTCTCCCAACCCCCACCTTCTTATTGGCGTATCAGTTATGGGAAGCTTAACTGGAGATTCATAGTGTGCGGAAAACAAGGGGCAGTCTTCAGCATTATGAATGGGGTGGGCAATCTTCATCATTATTAGAAAGTGTCAGGCCTTTGCCTATGGTAACGATTTGGCATTCGAGTGAAGCAAAAGAGGTAGCTTTTTGTTTTCTTAAAGCTGACTTCCAAGTAAAATGTATTTTTATCTCTACAATTGTATTGATTACCTGTAATCTGTAATGAAGTCCTACATCATGCAAACAGCTGGATCCTGTAGAAATCTTTATTGAAAAGATGCTCTGTCTTCTACCTGTGGGCATGCTCCTGGGCTGGGCTGTGTGCATCTGTAGACACACACAGCATGGCTCGGTCCTGCCCCCCACCCCTTCCTCACAGGATTTGATTGACAGAAGAGGGAGCCCATGGCTCCTGCTGCTGCCTCTGTGTCCTGGGAGGAGAGAACACAGAGCAGAGCTACTGCAGACAAGCACAGCACTGGATAGAGATAGGGCTCGGGTAAGTGTATAGAGAGGTGAGCGGACATTACAACTATTAAGACAAATTTTACCATAATGAAGAGAAGGCATGAAAGCAAAAAATGTCTTGTCTTTATAACCACTTTATGGACCTGTTTTTACACTGCACCTAAGGCACATCTTGCTATAGCCCATGCAAAAGAGCTTAAATATGCAGAGCTACACAGAGAAGTTCCCTGCCTTGGAAAACGCATACATAAAATGCATGAAAATAATTTGCTATTCACACGCTTGAAATGTGTAGTAAAACCGTGGCACTTTATAGAGTAGAATTACAAACATGCCTCAAAAATGTGGCTTGCCTTAAACTGAACTCAGGATGTCAGTGGTTTGCTATGGCTGACTCCTACATTGTGCTACCATTAGGCTCCCATAAAACAAAACAAAGCACTTGATAACAAAGAAAAAAATGCAGCGGTGGCATTTAGAAAAATAATAACAGTGGTCCATGGAGAAAGAACAAGTTATGTTTTCTAGACAGGGTGGATCGATCCAAGTTACAGACGCTTTTTTTTTTTTTTTTTTTTTTCTTTAAGAAACATCCATAATATATAATTGATGCTTTGCAGTCGTCATACCTATTGCTCCCCTGACTGCTGTAATGTGTCATGGGTCCTTTGGGTACTTGTTATATGCAGGTGTAAAAAAAATATAACTCTGTGTGACTAGGAATAATTTACAAAGAGCTGCTCCACATTTACATTTCCTTCTACTGACAGGGGCATAGACTTGCCTGGTAAGCGTATATGTTAGAGTACGGTAATCGTCACCACGGGAGCCATTATTTTTCTGGAACATAAAGTGCAGCTTAAGTAAACACTGTTGGGAAATTGTCATGTAAATACTTGTTTGTGTTCTGATCTACTTCTCTCTTTATTTTTATAGGAATGTGACAAATGCCAAAGGTAGGTTGTGTGCTTTTATTATCCTTTTCTTTCCCGTTGCTGTTTTCCTAACAGCTTGTCGATGATATGTTAAAGCTGGGTTATGTTTGTTTTTTCTTTATGTGTCCAATGAAGACGGCAGAAGAACCGGGCTTTCTGCTATTTCTGCAGTTCTGTACAGAAACTGCCCATGTGTGCCCCACTGTGGTAAGTGCTACATCAACATTCTACTGCTTGGTGCTAAGAAAATGACTATTAAAATAACTTGAAGAGTAATATTTGTCATTTATAAAAATATCTGCAGTCTGCTCATTCATTTCTTTTATAGCGTGAAAGGGTTGGAACCCCGTCTGTTTTTTCTTTGATTGTGGTCTGTGCAAGTCTGGGAGATTCATATTCTTTATCCTAGTGACCTCTTTCACTTGGACAGGCAGTGGTGGGAAAAACAAAATTGTGAGCTCTCACCACATCATAAAGTAATGGGAAATCTTCCAATAGACACACCTTTTTTTATGGTGATAACGGGAAAGATTTCCTAAATCTTCTGGTTGCGTCTCAAAAACAGGAAAGCTCCTCAATGGAGCACAGTAAAAATGAAATCTGAGGGATCTGCACCATTCCCTGCTTTGGTTAGAGATACAACCTAATGACTAACAGTGAATACAGCTAGGAGTAGGTACTGCCTTTACTGAAAGCTTATTAGAAGCTGCATGCACTGAAGAATGTGCCTTCAGTGAACCCAGTTCTTCCAATCTATGCAAAGGTTTGTATCACTGTTGTCTCACCATGCTTTGAAACTATATTGTACTTGAGGAAGTACCCCTCCTACACACTTATGATTTAAATGTGAACTATATTCATGCATTTGCATTTTAGTACAGTGCATCAAAAGAAATACTACTTTCTTCAGCTCATTCATGAAAACGTACAGTACCTTTATGGGATGGATTGGCAATGTGTAAAACGCACTGCTTAAAAATGCAGAGGTGTGAGTGTAGCCTTAAAGTACCACTTCACCTTTAGTGAAGTTTCCGTTTTAATAATAATAATAATAATAATAATAATAATAAATAATTGTCTCCACTTCACTGAGTGCAGCCCATTTGGGATAATACATGCCTTTTGACCAAGCAATATTTTCACTGACAAGGTCCGGGCAGGCTCTTCTTTATACTGTGCATATGAACAGCCCCATTTACCTCTATAGGTAATGTGTTCTGTCTGCCTCCAGCAATCCCATGAAGTACAGCTTTCCCACAGGAATGAATGAGGCTGTGGTGTGCATGTGCAGTATAAAGAGAAGCCTGCCAGGACCTTGTAAGCAAAATCTTTGCTGGATCTAGGAATAAGGTAAGTATTATACCAGGTGGGCTGGGCTCAGGGAGTTGGGTGGGTTTATTAACAGACAACTGCACTGAAAGTAATGGGGCAAAGCTGTCTGTGTTCAATTGGAAGATATTTTCCTACACTATCTGTATTGGAGTTCAACAGGGAATTTCCGTAAAGAATTCCAGGAAATTAATTTTTTCCCCATGCAGTGGGGCTGTGCTCGCATTGCATAGGTTAACTGCTCATTTTTGTCTAGGGGTGAGTTGAGCGTAGATATATTTACCTATTCGTCGATCCTCCGAGCACAAGACTGGTCAATGCCATTCCTGCAACCAGCATTCCACCAACTCCCCCCCCCATATGGTCTCGTGCGGTGGCCTGTTCCTGGTGTCATGACAGCCAGCGACTGGCTCTGTCTGTAAGTGAGGTCGGCAGGAACAATCCTCCACTGGATGAGGGGGAGCGCTGTTTTTCAGAGGATTGAAGGATCGGGTGAGTATAGCCTTTCTGTGCGCCCCTGGACAAAATAAGCAGTTAACCCATGTAGTGTGGGCTCAGCCCCACTGCATGGGGGAAAAAAAAATCCTGGTTTTCTGCTTTAAAAAAAAAAAAAAGAAAAAAGGAAAGCCTTTAACAGTTGTCAGCTGAACAAGTGTCTCCTTTAGAATATTTCCCCTCTTTTACCCAACATACCCAACATTTTGGGTATTCAGACGCACAGCCTGGCTCAGCCCCATCCCCTGCTCTCTGCTCACTGATTTTGACTGACACCAGCAGGAGCCAATGGCTTTCGCTGCTCTCAGCCAAGCCTTTGGGAGTCGGGAGAGATGCTGCTGCAGATGTTCACAGCGCTGGACTGAGATCAGGTTCAGGTGAGTATTTAGGAGGGCTGCGGGGGGATCTGCTCTTAAAAGGTGTTTTCCCTTAATGCAGACAACCACTTTTAGTACATTTAAGTGGGTGAATAAGGATCAAGGTGGTATTATCAATATAAACAAAAAACAAGAACACATGACCTGAAAACTAGCAGTGGAAATGCTCTAAAGTAAGCTTACAAAGTATTCTTTTACTGAAAGCATAGTTGATGCTTAGAAGACTTCCAGCTGAGGTAGTGAGCCTTTCAACAGTAAGTGAATCATGCGTGGGACAAACGTAGATCTGTATATTCCGACAAAAAGATTAACAAAATCAAGGGGAAGACTTCATGGACCACTTGCTCTTTTTCTGCCATCACTTTCTATGTTTCTATGTGAACAAATCCATTTTCAGTATATCGGTGTATCTGATGTTCTGCCTCAAATTTGATTATTTTGCATCCTTTAGAAAATCCAAAATTAATTTTGGGTTGGCAGCTTTGGTAACAAAAAGTTATTTTGTTCATCTCCTACAGGAAAGACCAAATGCATGATGAAATCCTCAGACTGTGTAATTAAACATCCTGGTGTTTATAGCACTGGTATGGCTATGGTGGTAAGTATCTGTACTCACAAAATAAAATGCCTGTTATTAATTATATACATTTATTACAATTACTGCATATGCCTCAGGTTCTGGTTGTGCAGGTTTTAAAGTGTATTTAGTGTATTTCCACTTTTGCAGCCAAATTGTGGTAACACCTCTTTTGTGTATCACATTTGTTACATGTTTTTATCTGCATAGTATATACGGAAAAAAATGGGGGGAGTTGACAACGTCAGAAAAAAAGGGGATCCCCCAAAAGTGTTTGGGCAGCTATAGAGATGCCAGGATCACTAAGCTGATTGCTGGCTGTAAAACTCATACTCAAGCTTATGGCTACAGCAGCTTGTTTTAACCCCTTAATACCTGGATACTTAACCCTTTCCTTATAAAAGGTATGCTTATAAGAGAAAGAGACATTAGAGGTCTGTTTTAGATACCTAATGTCTCTCCAAGCCCCCCCCCCCCCCCCCCACACGTCACGGCACCCCAATATTCTGTAACGCATACTGTTAGGTTAATTCGGTCTGTTTACAAGCGGGCTGGCAAGTTAAGCTGGAAACTTTTCTCTTTTGTATATAAAAATGTACCTGTGCAACTACAAGGCTCCATGTACATTGAAACATTTCTCTGCTAAACGTGGCAAAAACGTTTACTCACGTTTTAGTGTTTGTACGTTTATTCATTTCACTGGCCAGAGTACTTGCCATTGACATGAATAAATGCCCAAGCGCTAAACATGGTTTTTTAACTTTTTTGGCCACAACATTCCTTTCCTAAACGCGATTCTTCTGCGTTCAGGAGAGGGACGTTTAACTGGCCCTAAACGCTGCTGCTGTTAAACTCTGATATGTCTTTCTGCATGGACACATGGGCTTTTATTGAGCTGAGTTCAGGGGCGTTGGCAAAAAAAAACACCAAAAGCTTTTGAACTTGAGCAGCAGTGTGCATGAGGCCAAAAAATTAAGTTGTAAAAAAATTTAAAATAAAAAACCTAGTAAGAGTAGATTTAGATGTGTCTAAATCTTCCTTGCCTTTGAAGCCGATCCACATTCAGGTCGTGCTCCATTGGCTACTGACAGGTGGTGAGGAAGCTATGCGACGTCTCCTCCCAGCCTGCTGTAATTCCATTGCTTATTACAGCTTTAGGGGAGGGGCGTTTGGCAGGCAATAATAATGCAGCTCAACTGTGCATTTTTGCTGCCTGCCCCCCCCACTGCAAGTCTAAACAAGGCCTAAGGCCTTGTTCACACGGGGCATACTACAGTGAGGCCATGCTTATCTGCACAGGGATGCACAGGTATTCCGTGCATCCCCATACAGTCCCATTTATGTCATTTGTGACACAGCGGCTGCACAGGAATGCACAGGTGTTCGTGCATTCCTGTGCAGGCATTCCCATCCATATCAATTGGGATGCAGTGTCTGCATTGACACAGCCACTGCTCCCAACTTGACATCCATGTGGGTTTATGTCCCTAACTCAGTGTCCGCATTTGGGGCCATGCACCTACACCCGCATGGATGTCAGATCTGTCCTTGCAGCTGCTGTGTCCCAGTTGACATGAATTGAACTGCCTGCACAGGGATGCACAGAACACCTGTGCATCCCCATGCAGATAAACACAGCCCTTCATGGGCGCACGCTTTACCACACCCCATTGAACCGAGGACTTAGTAGGAGTTTAGCAGGAATTTTGTCAGTTATGTCTGTGGTTTTGTGTGCAAGTAAGGATTTTAGTGTGTTCTGTTTTTTTTTATTATTAAACATTTGCACAACTACTGTGGTACCTAAATAAATAAATTTTTTATTTTACTGGTCATGTGCATTCAGAAAATATATGGTTTAGGAAGTCTTCTATAAACTCTGAAAGCTGTGAGTGAAAAATGAAAACCTCCAGATTTTTAGAGAAATGTGCTTATTTTCAGTTTTGCATATGTTCCTTTTTTCACCATTTTGCAAAAAGGCGCAATTTAAAATTTACAAATATTTGGTATTAACTCAATACAGGTTAAGCTTTTATATTTAGTAGGAATTTTGTAAAATGTTTGTGTTTATATCTGCCAATAATGATTTTAGTGTATTTTAATGATTTAATAAATATTTGCACAAATATCATGTGGCCCTAGCAATTAGTAGCATCTTCTTTTTATTCTACTGGTCATGTGCATTCAGAAAATATTTAGTTTGGGGGTCTTTTACAAACTATGGAAGCTATAAGTGAAAAATGAAACCCTCCAGATTTCTAGAGAAATTTGGATAGTTACAGTTTTGCGTACATTTGATTTTCCCCATTTTACAAAAAGGCGCAATATAAATGTAAAAATATTTGGTGTGTATTAACTCAGTACAGGTTAAACTTTTATATTTAGTAGGCATTTAGCAGACATTTTGTAAAATTTGCTGTTTTTATCTGCTAATAATAATTTTATTTTATTTTTTTTAGTGAAAATATTGTTTTGATAAACATTTGTGCAAATATCATGTGTCCATAAAAATCAGAAACACGTTTTTTTTTTTATTCTACTGGTCATGTGCTTTCAGAAAATATATGGTTTAGGAAGTCTTCTATAAACTCTGAAAGCTGTGAGTGAAAAATGAAAACCTCCAGATTGTTAGAGAAATGTGCTTATTTTCAGTTTTGCATATGTTCCTTTTTTCACCATTTTGCAAAAAGGCGCAATTTAAAAATTTACAAATATTTGTTATTAACTCAATACAGGTTAAGCTTCTATATTTAGTAGGAATTTTGTAAAATGTTTGTTTTTGTATCTGCCAATAATGATTTTAGTGTATTTTAATGATTTGATAAACATTTGCAGAAATATCATGTGGCCCTAGCAATCAGTAGCATCTTCTTTTTATTCTGCTGGTCATGTGCTTTCAGAAAATATATGGTTTGGGGGGGTCTTTTACAAACTGTGAAAGCTGTAAGGGAAAAATAAAAAGGCAATGGAAAACTTGCAAAGATGGTCTGGCTACCTGGGTTTAAAAGTGGAAGGCAGGACCTGGCAGCGAAAGGGTTAAAGGCCAAGTTTACCTTTTCATGCAGAATTTATCTTTTCATAATAAATAGAATCTTTTTGTGATCATTTCTTGCCGTGCAATCCCAATGTTCTTATCTCTCCCTTACCTCGTCCACAAAGAATCTGAAATTTCATGTTTCTGTCTGTTTTAAACCATTCTTTCAGCTTGTTTCACTTCCTGTAGGTCAGCTCCAATTATCAGTTTTTGCTCCACAGAAAAGGGTATGATAGGGCGTGTATTACCATTCTAGACCGCACCTCCCTCATTACTATGCCACCACCTCTGGTGACCATACACATTACAATCTGATTATACAATCTCCTTTAGATCTCCCATCAGATATGTTGTGCAAAAGCCTACATGATTTGATACAAATTGAATGGATTGTTCAGGTGAGTCCTCCTTTTCCATAGTTCTGGTAAATCTAGAGGAAATTGTATAATCAGATTGCATAGTGTATGGCCATCATTATAGAAGGGAGTGGATGGAGACAGTCAGCTGTCAGGCACTGTTCACCTCTTCACTTAGCGCGCTTTTTTTTTTTTTTTCCCCCAAGGGGGATGTTTTGGAGCATTTCCGTTCATCATGCTTACGGCAGCCCATTCACTTGAATGTGCTGCCCTATGCGAAAGTCGCCCCAAAGAAGCTTCATGCCCATGCTGTTTGGTGCGTTTACAGCATGTTCCTGAAACACACAGCAAAGCATGTATTTTCTGTGCGGTTTGCCATGTGTTTGGAAATGCACAGATGGTGAATGGAGCCTTGTTGTTGTGTAAACATACCAATTGCACTTTCAGGCCCCATTTACACCTAGTGTAGTCTGAGCGCATGTTTTTTTGGATCATTTTCCTCATGACATGAATGGGCAGCCTGTTGATTTCATTGGGCTATGTGACATGTGGCAAAGTAGCTCATGGGACATTTTTGCATGGTGCGAGTTGCGCTTTTTTTTTTTATTTTTATTTATTATGCTTTTTGGTGCATTTGTTACCTGTTTTTTTTCATGTGGCTAAATGTGTGTTTGCTTCTTTGTTTGGGGGGCTGTTAACAATGAACGGCACTGAGAGCACAATTAACCACTTTCCCTCTGGAAGAGTTACCCCCCCTTCCTGCCCAGTCCATTTTTTGCGATACAGCGCTGCGTTACTTTAACTGCCAATTGTGCAGTCATGCAACACTGTATATATATTACATTTCTGTCCTTTTTTCCCACAAATAGTGCTTTCTTTCGGTGGTATTTGATCACCTGTTTTTTTGTTTATAGAAAAAAAGTGAAAATTATGAAAAAAAAAATTATTTTTGACTTTTTGCTATAAAACGTATCAAATAAAACATTTTTAAATCAAATTTCTTCATAAATTTAGGCCAAAATGTATTCTGCTACATGTCTTTGCTTAAAAAAATCCAAATATGTGTAAATTAATTGGTTTACGTGAACGTTATAGCATCTGCAATTCAATGTATTTGTTCTTCCACAGTACACAGAACATGGAAATGCAATTATTTTAGTAAATATAAACTGCTAAATACCTTTTCTCATCAGCAGTTAGAGCAATCTTATGACATCTATCAGTGTTCAGCAGAGCACTGGTTAAACCTTGTAGGAGGAGTTTTTTTTTTTTTTTTCTGATCTAGGAGGATGCAAAACCCCTGACCTCTGCCTGGACAGTGCTGATTGGCTCTGTGCTGATCACATGCACTCTCCAAGGAAAAAAACATACTCTCTAGCAATACACACCAAACTAAGCATGTGCAGAGTGTCTCCACACGATATATCTTATCAGGAGATAAGAGGGGGGCACTGGAAGAAGGGAAGGATTAGAGAAGTCAGGATCAAACAGCCTTTTTATACAGTGCAGAGGATTAACCCCTTAGGTTCCACAGTGAGTATAACAAGCATGCTTTACTGCATATACAGACTGATTTTACTGTTGTGGGTTTAGTAACACTTTAATGGTATATTGGTACATAGGGATGCAGCTGG